ATATTTTTTTTTATTTTTTTTTTTTTCCTGGAAAAAACATAGATCCAAGAAGAGTTTACAAGCTCTATGATATTGAAGCTGAAGAATTGAAGGTCTCTGAGACTAAACCTTCTAGTCTATGCTTTGGAGAAGGAAGTAATTTGTTTAATGTCATAAAAGGTCATTCTACAAGTCATGTAATAGCCAATGAATTGAATATTGAACTACCCAATATCTTTGATTTACAGAATTTTTTGACTACAGAACCTGACATGGAATTTAGTTCAGAACTAAACTCTAAAGCTGACTTTTGCTGGAATTTAAGATAACTTTATTAATTATCTGACCAGAGCACTTGTCGTCTCTTTGCTTGACAACTTGAATGCAACTGCCATTTTATATGCAATGATGCTTAAGTTTCTGTCTGTAGTATTAATAGTTGCTATACTGCTTTATTTCCTTAAATATCATTAACTTATTTTTTTGTCTGTTCTACAGCAAATGTGGGGATCCAGAATGGCTTTTACTGGCAGTTTTCTTTCATGTTCCACTGTAGTATAAATGTAACACAAGTGTCTGTTGTGAAGGATTTGAACTCTGCCAGTAGAGGGCATACCCTTCTTCCATTATATGAAACAGCCTGTTTCAGCGCAGGGTTGTTGATGGATACCTTCCTGTGGGTCTGCTATGGTTAAAATGCATACTAAGCACCTAGTTTTGTGGTATTCTATACAAAGGTGGTTGGTTCCACATTAGTTGCTAATGAAAAATGCATAATTTTTCTAGAATTTGTGTCTGTGGATATCCTCGCCAACAAGTAAGGAAGTACAAGGGAGTCAACTGTAGGATTCCAGTTTCATCTGAATTCATGGTGCAGATGCTAACAGGGATTTATTATGCCTTGTAAGTTGATTTTGTTTTTTTTCTATATGCATACAAAATAAAGAAAAGTCAGCTTAATTTCTACACTTGTTTAGACATACTACCCTTGAAATGTTTTATTTTCTAGTGGATGATGCTGTGTCTAGCTATAATCCCCTTAGGAAGAGAACGTAGTTCTCCATCTAGTTTTCTGAAGTTACTTACATCATACTGGGGAAAGAGGGCTAGAACAGCACTTAATAGGTATAACTGCTGGTATAAAAAAAACAACTTTAAAAACCCCAACCCTTTTCCAGCTATTGTGTGCTGTCTGCATTTTGCATGCTTAGTTTTGACATCAGTCTGGTTAAGGACAAAAGGTCTTGTCATTTTTTCTCTGAAATGCTGATGTTGTCTACCCTTTGCTAGTCAAGTTAATGTTTGAAGCTTTCCTATTAACTGAAATAACTAAAGATTAGAAACACAGGAATACTCAAAGATGGAGTAACATTAAAGCAGTTCTGCTTGAATTTCAGAATATTTCATGATTAGCTGATTAATAACTAATTATGTAATTTCTGAACTGGTCAGGATGGCCAGTGAAAATAAAACTATGTCTCCATAGATGCTACTTCAGAACAAGTTGTCTAAATAGCAGGCTTACTGCTAGTGAACATAAGTAGTTCAGGCCCTCTAAATTAAGCTGTCAAGGAATGGAGAGTCTGTAAAGGTTCTGTGGCCAAGAAGGTTCATCTGTTGATATAGATGCTTATTATTATGTATATATTTACCTTTGTAGTTATAATGGAGAATGGGATCTGGCCCGTAAAGCTATGGATGACATTTTGTATAGAGCACAGCTGGAACTGTATCCAGAACCTTTGCTGGTAGGTATTGTATTTCATCGTCTTTGTGAGTAGAATTTTTAGTCTAGGAAATCCTTCCTGTGCACACGCATGATGCAACATCACACCAGGAACCTGAATCCCACAAGGTGTATGTGGCTATGCTTGTGTGACCAGCTAGATCTGTAAGTATACACACACAGGCACAGGTATTTTCGATGTATTTAGTTATTTTGTAGCCTTCGTTAGTGAAGAAGCTATTTTCAGTAGAATGCTTCTAAGTCTTGAAGGCTTAGATGTTAGGACAGAAGCATTCAGAAGTAATAGCCAGATCTCTGAACTGGAAACCTTTTAAAACTAAACGGCAAGTGTTAGTTCTGAGAGGTAATTGCAACCAGCATTCTTTCTAACCTGTGTAAAAAGCTAGTGTGCTTTTTGACTTTAAGCTGGAATTGTACATGGTATCCTTCTTGGAGTAATAAGAATGCCCTTACAGAATTCTTCTAAAATTTGTATCTTTGTGTTAAGAACTTAACTGCATTTTTTCTGTTCTAGGTTGCTAATGCAATAAAAGCTTCACTGCCTCAGGGTGCCATGAAATCTAGTAAAGAAGGTACAAGATGCATTCAGGTTGAAATTACACCTACTTCATCCAGAATATCAAGAAATGCTGTGACTAGCATGTCTATCCGAGGGCATAGGTGGAAAAGGCATGGTAAGAAGCACATTTTGCAATGAATTCTCAACTTTTTACATGTGTTTAATATACTGAGAATTTTGTTATTGCACATCTTCGTTGCTAGTAAGCAAGTAGCAATTTGGAGGTTTTTATTTTCTTGACTGGTGAATCGAGTTTAATGCAATTCAAATGAAGTGGATTCTGTATTTCCTTAATCATGGGGGGAGAGGGAGAGTTAATAAAATCCCAATAAAACAGAACAAAAAAACCAATGAATGAACAAACAAAATGCACAAATCTCCTTTTTCTTAAAGGGGAGGGGAGCTGTACAAAGATATAGATTCTTTGAAGAGACTGATACTCCTGTCTTCTGAAAAGTAGTTTATAGTACCTGAAGCAAAGCAGATATTTAACAGCTCTATGCAGAACCTCCTCTCTCTTAAATCCAAATTTTATTTAAATAATTTCATGCTAGAGGTATGAACAATTATGTTTTGGTGTTGTGGTTTAAACCTGGCCACGGCTTTATCACGTGTAATGGTTACTTGGGAAGACAAATGAATGTCCCCCCACCGTCCTGCTTCTTCGCCTAGCTTTATATGCTGAACGTAACATCATATGGTGTGGGATATCCGTTGGGTCAGCTGTCCTGGCTGTGTCCCCTCCCAGCTTCTTGTGCACCCCCAGTCTAGTTGCTGGTGAAGAGGTGTGAGGAGCAGAAAAGGCCTGGACTCTGTAAGGAAAAACCTCCCTGTATTATCAATACTGTTTCCTGCACAAATCCGAAACATAGCCCCATACCAGCTACTATGAAGAAAATTAACCCTATCCCAGCCAAAACCAGCACATTTGAGCAAACTAATGTAAGAGCTTCCACAGAGTAGAATATGGGGCTGGGCTGAGAGGTAGAAAAAATGGTACTAAATGAACTGCAGAAGGAGCAATGTTATATTTATTTCTTCTACCAACTTCAGATGAGGGAAGCGTCACTGGACCAGCGACCACAACTGACAGTGGCTTGTTCTGCTGGCCTTGTAATTCTGATGACAGGCTAAGTGAGTGAGTGTAGATAAGAATGCTCTTTAAAAGGTTCAATAAAGATTGTGAAGTAGTAGTATAAAATTTCTGTATGATGTGTGCTGTAGGAGCTTTTGTAGAATATGGACAGTTTGGTTAGAAAAATATTGCCATGTTACTTTACATGAGGCACTGAGAGTTAATTCAGGTAAATGCTGATCGAAGATGACTTTAAAATAATGATGGAGGTTTCTGAGCAGTAATGGTACACATTGGTCATAGTAGTACCAATACTAAGCTGCCGGAGGGGGTGAAGGGCAAACGAAGGTTAAACCAACCAAACTTCTTTTCAGTTGATTAAAAACTGCTTAAAACTGTCAGAGCTGAGAAGCAAAACGCTGGTGTCTTTAACTTGAGTGAGGTCCAGAAGCAAGTCATTACTGAAATCTAAAGTTTTAGTCTTTATTATTTATTTCCCTTTCTTCAGGCTTACAGTTGTTAAGCAGGGATTACTGACTGGTTGCAAGAAAACTGTATGATAGCTCAGCTTTTAAATGGACAAATGCCTCTGAAGCTTGGCAATTTTGTCAGCTGTTATTTTTTAGTGGTTCTGATGCTTGATCAGAGGAGGTGGTGAAGGGGAACGCAGATTAGAGATACTGAGTGCCAGTTTGTTTAGAGGAATTGAAAGTATATGAAAATAAATTCCCTTTGTCTTTGCATTTACAGAAAAAAAAGAAAAGGTGTTACAGAATCAGCATTGGAACTATCCTTATAAGAATGCATCTTTTTCAGCAAATGCAGAAATGAAGAAGTTCTTACAATTATTGCTTTCTTGCAGGGGTGAAGTTCAAGGAAAAATGGGTGGGACAAGTGTGCCCTGCAGCAGATAACAGTAAGGTGAAAGGGAAATGAGGATAATAGTAGGACTCATAGAAATGGAGCAGGATGCTGCGTTTTATGAAAGTCTCATAAAGCAGGATGAGAGAAACAATGGTACCTAGACCGTATGACCCAAGTAAGGAGCAGTCAGTGTTTAGGGATGAGGGTTGAAAGACTAAGGACTTTAACAAAAAAACTTTTCAATGTTTTGTTTGGATTATTGGGAACTTTGGATTTGTCTCAGTGGTACAGGATTTAATGAAGAGGAAGCATATCACTTATTGTAGGGTGGGGGTGGAGGGGAATTTTTATGGTAGATTGTGGGAGAAGTTGTAAATTCGAAGGCTGTGTAAACATTAGTCAAAAGTGAGTCTGTGCTGTGCTTGGCTAACTGCTCTTCCAAATGTTTTGGTTTTAAATAGTAAAGGTTCCATGCATATACTACTACAGCTAATCTTCTAAACATTTGCATTATAAAATACTAACAAAATTGTTGGGTTTGATTTGAAAAGCCTTTTTAAAGTCAGAATGGATGCTCTCCTGGTTTCAAAATTCTTAATAATATAATTTAGTGCCTCACAATTCCTGATAAAAGAAAGATACAGAATAGATGTTCAAGGTCAGCATGCAGAAAGAATAATGAGGCTTGTGCTTACAGGTGCTTGTTTGAATTAAAATAAACACTGGAATTGGTAGAAATCAGGTGACAAACCTTGTACCTCCTAACCGTTGTTCTCCCATGGTATAAGGGAAAAAAATGTAATTGGGGGTTTTATTTTTGTGCTTCAGTATAATGACAACGAGTTATATAAATGGATTAGGAAGCTAGAGGAGAAAGCTGAGAGGTAGTTTGATCTTACACGTTATGTGGACCAGAAGACCTGATGAAGCAAAGTATCCCTTGGGGAAGCAAGGGCATCAGTTTTTACTGACTAGCTATTTGTGTAAAATAGAATAAAAGAACTGCAGCCAGTTACATTTCCAGCTGAGAAGCACAGACGTTATTCTCTTGTATTTTAAAAAATCCAGTTTACTCTAAGTTTTCAGACATGAGATCTTGCAGGCCTGTGCTAGAACTCTAGGTTGAAGTCAGTTTTGAGAAAAAAGTTGGCTTAACATTTAATTTTGTTGTGATACTCGTTCGTTAGAGCTGTTACTTAGAACTTCTTTAAAAATCAAATTAGTATTATACATTTGGCCTTCTAAGGTAGGTACTTTAGAGGTACTAAAGGTAAAACTTAACATGTTTTAAAAACAAGCCTTAAGTGGCATCTCCATTTCCATTTACAAATAGAGGAAAACCAGAAAAGTCATACGGTGGGTGAGGGACATGAACACTTAAATTAATGGTTGTTTATGGAAGCTAGGAAAAAACCAAAGCAAGCCCTAGCAATGCTTTCCCTCCTTACACAAAATCTGCCATACTGCCCTATAAATTGTTGCTTGGGAAGAACTCCTTTGTAGAGGTAATGTGTGTAAGAGAAATAATCTGATGTAACAGACCGTGTAAGAAGAGCTAAGCAGATGTTGGTAAGATATGTACTACAGAACCCAAGACATCAATTAGAGAAGACAGACAAAATGTTATTATTTTTTTTTCCCATTGTGGAAATAGGTTTCCATTTTGTACACAAGGTTTAGAAACATTAGTCTTCGAATCACTTTTTTGGAAACAGTAGTAATTCCTAAAATAGTTATAACTTCGAGGAAACTGGAATGAATGTTAATTTTGGAATATAAACTTGATGCTCTTGTGAATAATTAAAAATGCTAACGTCATTGTGCAGGAAATGCAGCTTGAGCTTGTGGTGCTTAAAATTGAATTACTGAATTACAGTCCAAATGGGCAGTTTGCCTGTGCAATCTGAGGTAAATGATCTAGGCAACCATAATAATAAGGTAGGCTACAACTGAAATACCTTTTCAATGAATTCTTAGCAGCTGGTGATCATGAAATTCATCTATCAAGGTTGATTGTAATACTCATAACATTCAGAATGTGACTCCAAATGCTTTTTCCTTCAATTGCTATAGACATATTTATATCAACTTTCAAACTGACATAATTTATTAAGTTTCATCTCTACACTATTTAGCAGTGTCCTTTGTTTTCTCTTTTGCTACATTGCCTAGTGCACTGGGTATTCATCTGTCTTTCACAAATGATATACCTCCAGAGTTGTCCAGCTTGAAGCAATATTCTTCTCAAAACCCCAAGCACTATGAAGCTGAAGGTTTGTTCTAGGTGTTCTTAAAAGTTTTAAAATGAAGAGGGGGCGCTACCATGAAGGGCATGGATTGTGTAGTCTTATCCCTGCCGTGAGACTGTAGATGCTATGGTAGTTAAGATACCCAGTATCCCATTTATTTCATTAATTTTCTCCTCTAGCTCAATGTTAAACTCGGAGAAAAGTATATTCCCTTTCATTAGCAGTACGTACTAGCACTTAACTAAAAGATGGGACATAATTATGCTGAACAAAACTCTTCAGTTTTTCGGCCGGTGTATCATCATTTCCTCCCTAAACCTCCCCAGTTCGCAGTTTATTGTGGTAATGGTTACACAGCTATTGGAATGCTGCAATGGCGGGTGAAGTGCTAGTATCGCAGCAGGGTATTACATTTAGAAATGTACACCACCAGACAATAAGTATTGCTGTTATACAAAATCTGTAACAAAATATTCTTCCCCTGCTCCTCTCATTTCTGCTGTGCAGTCTGAGTCTCCTTTCTTTGGAGCTGGATGATTAATTAGTGCTTTTCTGCCCTTGATGGGGAAGGGACTGATAGTAAGCTCTGTTCTGCCCTCTCCTCCCTCTGGTGTCCTGGCTCTAAATGAAGTTTCTAGCAGAATCGACCTGTGTGTATGGAGATCAGTGGATCCTGGGAAGATGTTCTGTTGGAGTAAGGTGGCTGTAGCTGCAGTGATGGGGCAGCAAGAGGGAGTTTGAAGATTGCCATAGAGAAGCACAGGTACCTCACCCTAGTAAAATTAAGAGTAATGAGGCCAATCGGAGTGTTGATCTTCTCTCCTCGCTAACCTTTCTGCTCTTATGTTTTTAGAAAAAAGGCTGTATTTGATAGTGGTATTACTATTATTATTATTACCACTGTTGTTGCTATTTATTATTATTACTATTGCAGTTCATGGTGCTTGGTTGTACCTTTACTACTGACAATAGATGACTTTTGCAGAAAAGTGCTATTAGAAGGAGTAACACAGAAGTAGTTCTAACTTGATTTTCCTACTAAATATCAGGAAGTTAGTGGCTACTAGCAGCGATTATTAGTGCCATTTCCTTTGGATAGTACAACTTAATAAATATATACTTTCATTAGTAGCTGACTAGTTAGAAAGAATCTTGATGCATAGCATTTGCAAGTAAAATCAGAGATAGATCTCACACCAAGGGACAGTTGTGTCCATCCCTGACAGAATAACCTTTTAGCTCTGAGACTTATTGTCCTGGTAAATGCAGGCAGTGCAAATGCTAGCAAAAAGCCCAGTGGTGCAGCCCCCTTGACCTAAGGTACACTGTGCCTGCACAAGAATCCTCACTGTGTGCATAGGGAGAAGAGAGGATCTCCTCCAGCTAAAAAGCATTCGAGCTGCTGCTATGAAAAATCATCTCATCATAAATTCCCCTGATTTTGGACTTCATACTGTCAGTTAAATGTCTGTACTGCCAACTTCTGTCATATTCAGTAGCAAACTGGCAGTATAGTCTGGATTGTACTTACTTAATCCTCCAGTCTGAAAGAGCTATGTTATGAATAAAACACAGGGGCTCAGCTGAGCTTTATTCTGAGCTGTGCTTTCAGTGCATTTTTAGTCTTGTCAAGTTTGTGGCCATATTGCTTGCATAAGTGTATATATATAGATATATAGAGTATATAAATATATAGCAATAGTGTAGTTCTTGCTCATTTGTATTTCCGTGGTATACATCTTCATGGAGGATGTGCCCTGACTAACTGATGGCTTCTCTTTTTTTTTTTTTTTTTTTCTTCTCCAGGTCATCTAAATGCAGTTTTGTGATTATAGAGCTAGTTGCTGATAAAGCAATTCTGAATACGTTTAGAAAGACCTTCAGATACTGAGACTACTTCAAACACTGTGGAGCTGACAGGTTTCTAGGATTGTAACTTGTTACTTGCATATACTTAGAATTTCCATAAAGTTTCAACTCCCATTTTTTCCACTTTTTTCCTCTCAAGAGTTCATCCTTCTTAAACCCATCTTCATGTAATACAGACAGGCATCTCCTGAGCTGGGAGTTGTTTTACCAAGACCCTATAGGAACCATCATTCTCAGACTTTAAATAGCAGTGGAGTTTCCTTTTTGCTTGAGGATTTTTGGCTATGGCTGCAAGAATCTTTGACTGTCTTGAAATAATTTTTTAGTCAGGTTGAGCACTTGCATATGTGCTATTGGTGACTTACCCAGATGAAAAGAAGAAATCTTAGAAATGAGTTGCATTGGTTTTTGCCTTAATTTCCTTTCCCTCCCCCCCACTGCAGCAGAAGGTTGTGATGCTTTTCCTCCCCCCAGCTTAATCCCTGTTTTTTCGACTCTGCTTAGTAACTGACTTGTGTGACAAATATGTTTATTGCAAACTAGTTTAGTTGTAAGCTCCTACAAGAAACTTAAAAAGGCTGAGAAGATCAATGTTTATGTTGTTAGTAGGTGGCAAAAATTGCAGTAAAACTCCATGGGTTTTGTCTGAATAGGTTGATTTTAGTAACTGGAGAATTTTCCTCCTTGTAAATCTTTCAGGTTGAAAATAGCTTTTTGAAATGAAGAAAATGGAAGTCAAAGTGTGATTGGGTTGGCTTAGGTGTTTCACTCTTAGTATTCAGGCTGACCATTGTGCAGCATCATGAGACTGTGTAGAATTTCCAGTCTTGTATGATAACATGTGAAGCTGATATGCCATTTCATCATAAAAATAAGTTTCACTTTATCATGGTGATACAGAGAATATAGTCATAGAAGTGTATTGTGGAGAGTTCTTTGATTTCTGATAATCTGATAAATGTTTGATCCTTAGAAATTTCAGTTTTGGAAGATCAAGCACGGGGGCTTTCCAGTATGTGGGTGCAGGCCAATAATTGGAAGAATCAAGACTGCAATTTAGAATTAAAACAAAATTCCATACATGCTAATATTGCTAATTAACAAGAGGTTAATATGTGAACATCTGCTTTAATTTATAATGCTTTAGTCATCTGTATCTATTGGCTTTCGTTTCATGTTTTGTTTCAGCCATCTTTTGTTTGTTTTGTTTTTTTTTTTCTTATCCATCTTTAATTCTAGAACAACCAGAAAATGGTAATGATGCTACTGAATTGGGCAACTTTATCATACCTGAGATTAGTGTCACAAGTGTGGCTGGAGAGAGGACCGGGAATGGGGAAAAGAGCAGAGCACTAGCAGAGAATGATGTTCAGCATTTACAGGGAGTACAGGAAACAGCTACAGATCCTAGAACTGACAGCAAAGGCATGCCAGAAATCAGGAGACAGAAATCTGTAAGAAAAATGATGGAGGATGGAATAAACTCATCTGGCAGAGTGCAGTTTTAGCAGAGCACTTGTAGCTGCACTCTAAGGTACCACTGTTGATTGAAAGGGTCACTGCTGCATGTTTTGAGATTTAAAGTGTGCAGTTAATATATTTGCATGTGTAATAACACAAATGCATGTATTGCATACAGCTTCGTCTGTGCCACAGACAATGGCAACATACTTACAAGTAGATTTATTTAATCTCAAGAAAATACACTTTGAGACTCAACATACCTTTGAGTTCATTAAGCTCTATTTATTGGGTTTACAAATCCAGTGATCAATGGTTTGAAGAATCCATCAAAATGAATGAGAAAAGTCTTTTGCTGTGTACGTCATTTGCCAAATTCCACCTTCTATGGTAAACTGGAGATCTCATGTTGTGCTTGAGTTACCAATTCATACCACTAGACCTGTGATGCAGAAGGTGACCTTTCAGTCCTAAAGTATTCTTAGGTTGCTAAACATGCCAGTGCCATACTGGGTGTCCTGGGACATTGATCACATACACACCTTTTTAATTAACGAGCTTTGCAAAATCACGTATTGGAGCACTTGCTCAGAATAAGACTTACACTTTCTGTTCTGCGTGGAATCTTCTAATCTGTAAATTCAAGTTTCTAATCTGCATGAATTAACAAGACTGCTTGTTTGTTTTCTTTTCCAAATCACTACAAAATGAGAGTTCAGGCATGCTTTTGATCTAGTTAATGCAGCATTATTTGCTGCAACTTTCTATCCTAATGAACGTTAATTCCAAAATAAAATGGAATAGGTAAGTGGTTTTCTTCTGTTCTCTCTTCTGTTTGCTGTATGGCTTCATGCTTGTAAATACCAAAATCTAGCAAAACATAAAATCAGTAAATGTGAGAAAGTCAAATGCTAATTCTTTCATTTTGTTTTCTACCATACAGGTAATACTGATTTAGAGATACAAGAAGAACTGATCGAAGTATCTGAAAGTGATGAAGGGTTTTACTCTAGGGCTACTTCTAGCACAAGTCAGTCTGCCCTATCCAACAGCAGCAACATGAGCAGTAAGAACCTTTTAGGGAAGAGCCAACGAAGGTCTGGAGGAAGCAAAGCTGGAGGAAAGGAAAAAGAAGGAGAAACCTGCAGAGAACACTTGTCACGAAAACAAACTCAGAGAGCCATGAGTGAGAATCTAGAGCTTGTCTCTCTGAAGAGACTGACACTGACAACTAGCCAGTCCCTGCCTAAGCCTGGCAGCCACAGTCTGGCCAGAACCACCACTACAGTGTTTAGTAAATCCTTTGAACAGGTCAGTGGTGTCACAGTTCCAAATAATCGTGGTGGTGTATCTGGTACAGAGGCAAACAGGTTTTCAGCTTGCAGTCTTCAGGAGGAAAAACTGATATATGGAACAGAAAGATCAGATTTTCCGATCTTAAGCAAGCAACCTAACCAGCAGCGACCTCCTAGTATTAGCATAACTTTGTCAACAGATTGATATTCAATTGGCAAGTATGAAAACTAAAATATTGAGGATTTATGCTGGTATTGGTGCATTGGTACGTTAAGCTCCTTAATATATTATACATTACTTTCTTAAAGCACAAGCCCATAAATTCTTACTTGGCTCACATTTGGCTGTAACAGTGAATAGACAACAGTTGTAATTATTTTGCATCAAATTCTAATAGCTTGGAAAGTTCCTCTTTGACTTACTGTGTTTATATACCCAGTTTATGGCTTCATGTGAAGTTTACATCTTCATCAATTTAAGAAGCATTAACTGGTTGTTTAGCCACTGACCAAGATGTTTGGCTTTTTACAAATGCACAGTATGGGAACAAATAAATCCTCTTTCCCAGATTCTACTTTTTCAGTGCCACTTGTCATAGGCTAAATTGCAAGTACTTCTTTTATTTAAGAGGCGTCTTACAGTACAGACATGACATTCTGGAAGACCGTTGTAAGAACAAACATTCTTGTATGTTAGCCGTGGGAAAGCTGTGCTTACATGTAAAACTAGAAGCATAAGTTTGGTGTTTGATATTCTGGTGGTTTTCGTAATGGTAGTTAGTACACGTTGCAATGTTCATACTTACTTATGCCTGTATGAGTCTGAACTATAAAAGCATTTTGGTTTTTCTATGTGTCTTTGAAACTGGGCCAAAAGTCATACAGCAGCAATACTTGTGGATGGGAGTTCTTACCAGTTGCTATAGTAGTCACTCTTTAGACTTAGAAATCGTGTGACAGACTGTCTTTCTTTCAGAGTCTTAAATATCAGGCACAAAGCTACTCACTGAAAAGTCACTGTCATCAGTATTTTTATTATTTGTGGGGAAGAGATGTGCTTATGTAACAATGTTATGCAGGAAATAAGGTGTGAGCCCTTTGCACTGACTCAAGCAAATCAGGAGTGTGAATGTGTTTAACATGGAATTTCTACTTGAGACTAAGAGAATACTACCAAAGGATGTGTACTTTCAGTAACTTGCAAGCACAAAGGGAAATTTATAATGTAAATATAACTAGCACTGTAATTCCTAGTCTTTTTATATCTGTTTTTTTTTCCTAACTTGAAATTCTAAAGCAGCAGCCTGTTCTAGGCTACTAAACCTTTAACCTTCAGCTAGTTTGATGATGTTGTTTGATACCAACTTTTATAATGTTAAGGTTTTAATTAAAAATGGGTATTAAAACTTCTTATGCAGAAATTTGGACAAGCAATAGCTGACAAAAACGCTCCAGTAGCAGTGATTAGCTGATAAACAGACAATTTATTATGAGTGAAATAGGAAGATCTAAGGCACAGTCATTCCCAACCATCCACATTTCTGCAGCTAGTGATCCCTTAAGGTCGGGAACCTTGTAACAAAGCCAACACTAAGATTCTGGTAGACTTTCCTATTTGCCTCGAGTTAGGTTTAGATATCCCTTTTTGACTGAAACTGAAGCACAAGAAACTTTTAAGCAGCTAATGTTATTCAGGTTTATAGATATTAATAAGCTGGTGGGTTAATGAGGAGAGATGAGGAGACATAGTTGATACAGACAAGTAAGTTGTGTAATTCTACTTCTAAGACTGCAGAGTAGGTGTATACCTTTCTTAACATTTACTGAAGCCTGTGGAATAGCTGGATTGGTCTGTAGGTATTTGTTTTCACCTGAGAGCCTGACTTAAATGAATTTGCCACCCTTTCTCATTCTTCAGTTTGTTGTGTGACTCTGTCCTATTCTAGTAATGCAGTAGTTCACCTTTTTACAGTGGAGTGTTTTCTTAATTGTACATGAAAACCTACATTCCTAATGTATAAACTGCAAATTTGTCCTGTTTAGTGTTTAATACTTTGGCCAGTGAAATAAACTGGTTCTTTGAAATTGTATGTTTTTGTAAATACTTTGTACAGCAGAAAATTTTGCATCTTTTTAACAGGTTTTCCTGCAATACATGAGACAACACATTTGTTTCAGATTCACTAATAGCTGTGGCTGCTTGGAACATGCATAACCACAAGCAGTGGAGGAGTTTAGGCAGCTAATAGCAGACAGTGGCTAGCACTGCACATACTAAATCCAGAGCTCTTCCTTTCCTTGAAATTGTTCTAGATGCTACAAGGAAATAACCTGTAGAACTTACTGCTATTTCCTGATCTGCTCTTGCAGTGTAGCATTGGAGAATACTTTGCAGTAATTTAAATTGAAACATATACTAGAATAGATGAACAAAATTGCAGTTGATAGATGGTTTTTGTGATTGTATTAGTTCTTATTGTCAAGGGACTAGAATTTTTAAGTAATTCTACTGGTTTTCTTTTGTTTCATTTAGTCTGTGGTTGTTTGTTATCTCCACAGTAGACACTCTTTCAAGCTGGGTGTTGGTTTAAAACATGTTTATTATACTGGGAAGATTTAGTTACTTTAGGTATAAATAATTAGAATTTTGACTGACCTAAAATGCCATAATGTTTACAATACCATTGGCTACAAGTCAAACAGTGTTAAAGTTAGTTTATCCTTTTATTTTCTCCAGCTAATTATTCTAATTGGTCTGGCTTGAACCCAAGGGCCAATAGGCTCATATTGGTACAACTGAAATTACATAAAGCTTCACACTTTTTTTGAAAGAAAATGATGGAAGGTTTTTGATACTAAAGGCTGCTGTTTCTATACATATGTGGCTTCATATAAATAGGTATGTATTGGTCTTTGGAGCAACTTATGCAATGGGCATGTTTTTGTGACTGATGTTACATGTTTGATACCTATCAAGTGTGAATAATTTATTTCCTGATGTTAGTAGTAGAACTTTCAGTTGTGTTTCTTTTCTTGAAAAGCAGGGGAAAAAAGGGGGGGGGCAGGAAAGAAGGATTAGAGAAAAGGGAGGGCAGAATTGTTTGTTCTCTAAATATCCATGGATTGGGGATAGGGGGGAATCAAGGCAGGAAGCAGATATATAAATTCTTTCATGATATTTCTAAAACTGTCAGGCTCTTGGGTTTTGAGCATTATCCAATTACTTTAGACTGATGGATGAAAAATATGTATTGAAGTAGTAGAGGTTTTCTGAGAGTGTAAAGAAAACCTGTATAGACATACCATATTGTAGCGTGTCTGTCTGGCAGTGGGGAACATTCCAAACATCATGCACAGCTGTAACATTCTTCAGGAAAAGTATTATGCAAGATTGAATTATCTCAAATTATAATAAGAGAAGTTGTTTTAATGCTGATGCTTATAACTGACCTTACTGTTTTAAATCAGAGGGCACTGTTTCCAATTACGGCTTTGAGCTTTCAAAACTGTTGAAGCTGAGAATAATTATTTTTGTTGTGAGAATCTGTAACATTTGTGCAAAAAGCATATGGCCTCTAACCACTTGCTGTAGAGCTGCAGTGACTTTTCTGAAGGGAGTGAAATGTCCTTGAATTGCCTTGAATACCTGACAGATGTGACAGGTACAGAAATACAGAGCTATTTTAGCCACACTTGTCTCTAAAGAGGTCTCTTCTGATTTCTATGAGGATTCTGGAAATTTCTAACTAACTTAGTTATTGTCTGGTATCTTTTGTCAGTGTTTGAGGGTTACAGTGCTGTATATAGGTGTGTAATATATTGCCTTTTGTATTTGTACAATTCTAAGACTAGATGTGTACATTTCTAATATTCACCAAAGTCTGCAATAGCTGCATCAGTCTACAGGTGTCTGTCATCACCTGAGAGCCTGAGTTTAGTGTACCACACTTTTTCATATTCTTCATTTCATGTGTTCTGTATTTTAGTAATGCAGTACTTCACCTTTTTACAGTGAAGTGTTCTCTTCATTATACACGAAAACTTACATTCCTTATGTAAACTACAAGGTTGTCTTGTTTAGTGTTTAATAACTTGGACAGTAAAATAAATTTTTTTGAAGTTGTATGCCTTTGTAAATACTTCGTTCAGCAGAAAATACTGCTGCCTCTTTGCAGGCTTCGTTGATGAAATGCACACTAGAGAGCAATGTATTTGTTCCGTTTTCATTTTACGCATCTAGAAGTCGCAGACCACATTGCTTAAAGTATGCTGAATACCCATTTTATAGAGCCTTGCCAGGTAAGACACCTTGCTGAGAAACACTGGCTGGCGGATGAAAGGTGAGTTCAAGTAGGTGAATTTTAAACTGGTTGGTGTCAGGAGCAGATGACTGTCCTGTCAGTAATGTAGCATTGCTTGGGCAACTTGGTAGTTTTGGTGGTCATAATATGTATTAGTTATAGATAACATTATTCCAATATATATATATTATTCTAATAGGTACATTATTGTAATATGTTATTAGAATAATTATGTGTATTAGAATAATATATGTATTTACCTAATATCTTAGTGGTTTGATACACAGTCATTATTTGCAACATGCCTCTATTATTAGGTTTTTCCAGCAGTCTTCACTGTGTTCTGTGACCTGCTGGTGAGCTGGGGGCCACTGGCTGTCTTTGCCGCATGAGTGCATGTGGCTGGCTCACATGCCCATTGTTCCCCCAGGGCTTTTTCTGTGAAGCTGCTTTCCAGCTGTCTGGTCCCTGTGTGTGCTGGTGCCTGGGATGGTTTGTCCCTACGGGCAGGACTTGGCGTCACCCTTTAAGCTTACTGAGATTCATGTGTTGGCTCATGTCTCCTGCCCGTTGATGTCCCTGTGAATGGCAGCACAGCATCGACTTCTGGTTTTGTGCCCTTTCACCCGCCATCGTTAATGAAGATGTTAAACTGTCCTGGCCCTGGGTGTTGACTTGTGGTGTGTGCCAGTAAGGCAAGGTCTGCAGGTGGCCTTGGTGCTTCTTTGAGCCTGGCAATTTAGGCAGTCGTCTGTGCTCAGAGGCTGCTTTCTTTTCCAAAAGGTATAAATTAGACTTGATGCTGTAATTGTCCTGTCAGCATGTAAGATTTGCTGTTTCAGGTACAGTGTGTGAAAAGCAGTGCTTAGAACCTGCTCTTACGTCGCTTCAGGTCAGATTTGTTGTTGATTGGTAAAAGACAACATGAATTCGAAAACCTCTTCTCAAAATGTGGTAGTACAAAAAAAAAGTAATGT